TCCCTGAGGTGGGTGAGCTCTCCCATTTCTGTCGGTCAGAGAGGGTAGCACCCTGTCTCCCATTGCGCTCGTCCGCCTACAGGGTGAGGTGAACTTGGCTTTCTTCTTTAGCAGGTGGAGGAAGAGTTGGGCAAAACGATATCCTGGTCACCCAGAGGTCCTCATCGGCGTCGGTCCTGTAGGCTGGACGGCAGGGGTCGTACGCCGACGTACCACCCTCAGCCGCTTGACTGTAGCTGCCGGAAAGTGATTTCCGGCCCAACGAGAGATCATATCCGCCCATACATTGGCATGGCCCGGAACATGCTCCACGACGTAGCGGAAATTCATCACTTTCATAGCCCACCGCAACAATTTGCCCTTGATATGCTTCTTCACACTTTCATGAGGCGCAAACACATGAATTAGGTTGCGGTGATCGCAGTACATGCGAAATGACTGGGGTCGGAGGAGAAGGTAGTCAAGCTTATCGCAAGCCATGACAATAGGAAACGCCTCCTTCTCTATGACGGTACAGTTCAGTTGACTTCCAGTGAAAGTTCCACTCAAACACTGGAGTAGTCGGTGCTGCTGGTCGGTGGCAGGCACCTTCGAATCAAAGTTCACGACCTGGGTGACGATCACGGACCAGCCAATGTCCGAGGCGTCCGTGAATAGACAGGTCGTCGCCGAATCTTCAGGAAAATCAAGTGTAGCCGCCGAGGCTAACATCTCCTTAACGTCATCGAATGATTGACGTTCTTCTTCCGTGAGCTCAATCTCGATCCCAGCAGCGGCTCGCTTCGCTCGCTTTGTGCTGGCCAGGGCTTGGTCAAGACGCTTCTGCAACGGAGCAACATTTCTGGCGTAATCCACGATGCTTTCACGCATCCAGTTGATTGCGCAGACGAACTGTTGGAGCTCCGCAGCAGTCTTCGGGTACGGCATGGCTCTCAGTGTGTCGATCCGCTCAGGATCATGACGTACACCTTGGCTATTGATCAGCTTGCCACACCACTTTACTTCAGTCTGGTACAGGCTGCACTTCTTGGCACTCAGCTTAAGGCCAAATTGATTCAGCAGCGAGAAGAACTTAGCGAGCTTCTCGAGGTAGACATCAATGTCGTCAGCATACAGGAGCAAATCATCAATCCAAATTAGTAGATGCTCGTACAGAAGACTGGCAAAGCATTCTTCCATCGTCTTCTGGAAGAAAATTGCAGCATCACTGCAACCTTGGGGTACTCTCCGAGGTGTGAAGATCTTCTCGTCCGTCATGTACGAGAGAAATTCCTGACAAAGTTCAGCGAGAGGCAATTGCCAGAAACCCTTGAGAAAATCAAATAAACCGAAATGTTTCATTCCACGTGCATTCTCCAGAACTAGCGACAAAATGGGCATGACAGCCGCCATCACCTCCGTCTTCTCGTTCTGCTCCCGGTAGTCCGTAGTTTGGCGCAAATCTGTGAGGTCCGCAGCCTTCTTGACTGGTAACACAGGACTTGCCCAACGACTATTGGGATTCTCGTACACCATTCCTAAGGCAACCAGACGAGAGTTAAATACACGGAGAAACTTTCGGATGTGTGGCGGGTACTTCCGCGGCTTACACTTGGATGGACGAACTCCTTCACGAAGACGCACTTCCAGCGGTCCGGCGGATCAGCACGTAGCTCCAAACGCCACACATCATAGGCATGCACAATCGCACACAACTGCTCAACTCGATCCATAGGGAAACCATTCTCCACCGCACCAGAAATCAAACGCTCCACTGCAGCAAAGATGCCATCATCACTTGATGAGGGTCCCTCTGAGTTGAACGGCATCTCGTCCGCCTCCAACTCAATCGAATCACCACTAGTCTCATCGTCTCCACGGCTAGCCAGTTGCTCCAGTTGCTGGTCGACGTTAATACCCAGCATCACAAGTAAATCGTTACCCACAATGAACTCGTCATCATCGACGTCCATGATCAAAACTTCTCTCCATCCGGGTACGTCTCGACCACCGACTTCTTGCTCTCGTGCGACGTTGTTACAAGCTGCACACCCGAATCCGGACCCAGCGCACGGGCCAGCGCCAACGAGTACGAAAAGTTACCATCGCCGACCGTCAAGATTCGCTTTACTTGAGCTGCGTCGTACAGTCCGATGCTGTGCCCATCAGCTTTAGCATCATGCTCATTCACCTTTGATGCCATGCGTGGGCACATCTCCGGTCTCACGTTAGGCATCAAACCCGGGCGATTGTGCAGCACAACCTTGTAGCAGCAGGCGACGCATCGTGTGAGCGCACAGCGCAGCGTGTCACGATGCACGTGCAGCAGATGCAGGTCGCGCCACTGCAGCTCGTTGGTGATGTTCATCGTTTTTGACTGGTGAAGGTTCTTGAAGGGCACTATTGACAGCCCCTCTGGAGTGACTAATTCGTGAGCTTAAGTATGACACACCAAAGTGCAGTGTAAAAAACCTTCCAAGGTTTTTAGCCATAAATCAGACTCGCGAGCCAAAAAAGCAGTGCGGAAGAGAGGAAAAGACCGCCGCATTCTCTAAGAAGACAGCAACGTCAGGTCACCATGGACCAGCTGATCCCCATTATCAACAAGCTACAGGACGTGTTCAGCGCCATCGGACAGTCTCCTATCAATCTGCCGCAGATTGTGGTCATTGGTAGTCAGAGTAGCGGCAAGTCGTCTGTGCTTGAGAACATTGTGGGCAAAGATTTCTTGCCGCGTGGATCGGGCATCGTTACGCGTCGTCCCCTCGTGCTTCAGCTCTACAACTCGTCAGCTACTATCCCTGTCGAGGGCGCGGAGGAGACGGCTGAGGAATGGGGCGAGTTCCTCCACGTACCCGGACAGAAATTCACCGATTTCAACGAGATCCGACGCTTTCCGGAAGAAGAAAGCGCTTCCCGATCTTGCGGTTGTACTCCAACACTTGGGCACGCACCTTCCGCTTCTCCATGAGTTTGTAGCGAGAGCTAGCGAGAAGCACCGCGTTCGGGTTCTCTGAAATGAGATCCGTAAAGACGCCGTACTTCTCCGTCAGAGCGCGGATCTTCTTCA